TAAAAAATAAAAAAAATTAAAATGTTATAGGAGATAAGCCAGCGGACCACACTTGAGTGTAAAGCCTTCGCTTTCCAGAGAAAACCTTTATTTCTTACCTTCTGCATCTGCTGATCAGACTTGGCCATCTCAGCGAAATAGTCACTGGGCCTCTTGGTAGGGACTCTGAGCTGATGGAGGCGGGGTAATACTGCCAGCACCGCGGCCTGGGCCTGCCGGTAGCTGCGGATGGAGGACAGTGTGATGTGGGACAAACTGAGAAATAAGCTAAGGGAGAGAGACCTTCTATTCCTTCTCGCTTGCCTAGCCGACAAGGACAACCTTGGAGTTATCTATCCATGGTCAGAAAAACTCTCAACATCTGACCTCCACCAGCAAGAACACACACACAAATGAAAACGTAATAAAACCTCATTAACTTGGTATCTAGGAGAAATTTAGCCATACACTCTTTAAAGAGGAAGGGGAGTTCTGCTAAAAATAAGTTTAAGAGAGTGACCACACTAACAGTACCCATTAACTTACAAACTAATACGTTATGAATTCTTACGTAGTCACTGGAAGAAGTTCATGTAAGAACCTCCCAGAAGCAAGTTTTTGTTTAAATAACTGAAAGTACAAAAAAACTTGAACACTGAATACTTCAAAATAAAATTTAAAAATAAACTGGACTTTGGATTATAACTGGTGGACCAAGGAGCTCTTCTCTCAAACAGGCACAATCTCCTTTAGCTCTTTTGAGTCTAAAGAAGCCCTCCTTCTTACTCTCAGGCTTATGACAACTTCTGAGGAGTACAGGCTCACTACTTCTCCCCGCCTTCCCACTGTCTAGCACAGGGACCCTTAACTCCCACACTTGAAAACAAACATACAAACTCATCTCGCGCTGGAAGTCATCTTCTGGATCAACAGTTTTCTGATCCTTGTTCTGAGGTGTTGACTGAGGTCCACTGACTTCCGGCACGGGACTCAGGGTCACATCAAGCCTTTCAACCCATTCAAGGTCCCGCTTGAATTCAGCCAAACACTGCTTCAGGCCACTCTAGGAAATTCAAACACTGAGCCAGCATGAAGGACACGGGTCAACGGACAAAAGCCCTAACCCCCAACAACCGGGTCGGTAATTGACCGTCCTAGCAATGAGGAGGCTGAGTCTTCCCTGGGACAAGAAGTCAGCACAACACACAAAATAACAAACAAAACAAAGCACAACAGTGTTTGTTGTGAGCATCTCGTGTCCTAGGACCCCCGGCCAGGCGCCTGAGCTCACCACGTCGTTCACAGCCTTCTTCGGCCCCTCTAGCACGACATTGAGGCCTGGCTTCAGGAGTCCTCGGGAAAACGCATCCTGCAACTGCAGGGCACAATCGGCAGTCAGCACCGGGGGAGTGTGGCCCCTCTCCCGCGCCCAGCCCCGCGAGCTCGGCTGACACTTACCTCTCGGTCTGTGACCAGAGAATCATCAGAATCCGAGTCCGAACCTGACAGCGGGGGAGTGTCCATGTCTCAGCGAGCGCGCGCGTCCACTCTAGTCGACAGAGCCGGGTGGCCAGGGGCCCGCGCGGCCGGAAAGGGACGCCTCTCGTCGCGGCGGCCTGCCCCCAGCCCCTCGCTCTCACGCCGCGGCCCACGTGCACCCGAGCAGCACCAGCGCCCACTGCTCTGCGCCGCCGCTCAACTTTTCGACCGGGACTTCCGCTTCCGGCCGCAGAAGCACACTTCCGGTTTGCCGTTGCTATAGGAACCGCTCCGGCGTCGGAGAGAGTCAGGATTGCTTGGGACCCGTAGGAGTTCTACCGCTGGATACACGAGTAGTCTGGTATCCGGAGGGAAGAAGCGAAAGGTGGGAGCGCGTAGCTGGGGGTCGCCTGGAGAAACAGGCAGCCGTGAGGAGCGAAGGAGAGGGGAGAAGCAGGAGCCGCGGGCAAGAGGGGGTGAGGAGGGTGCTGGAGGGGCGGGGGGAGCGGAGGAGGGCTCCGGGGCGGGGGAGGGGGGGGGGCGGGGGGGGGGGGGGGAGCGGAGGAGGGCTCCGGGGCGGGGTATGGGCGGGGCCGGGCGGAGGGGCGGGGCGTGTCTCCAGCCTCACCAGCTGCGTGGATGTTCTGCAGAACTTTGTGGGGTACCATGTCGACCGTGGTGGCTCAGTCGCTGCATGTTTTTGGTCTTCGATCCCACGTGGCCAACAATATCTTCTTCTTCGATGAACAGATCGTTATATTTCCTTCGGGAAATCACTGTGTGAAATACAATGTGGATCAGAAGTGGCAAAAATTCATTCCAGGTAAAAAGCCTTTCCATCCTGACACATAAATGAACCGTAGGTGCCAGATATAAACCCATAATCCCAGCAAGGTTACTGAAAGGAAAGTTGTTTTTTTTTTTAAGATTTTATTTATTTGACAGAGAGAGAGACAGCCAGGGAGGGAACACAAGCAGGAGGAGTGGGCGAGGGAGAAGCAAGTTTCCCGCAGAGCAGGGAGCACGATGTGGGGCTTGATCCCAACACCTGGGATCACGACCTGAGCCGAAGCCCGACGCCCAACTACTGAGCCACCCAGGCGCCCCTGAAAGGAAAGTTTTTTGGCCAAATTAAATATACGTGTTCCATCATATGAATCGAATGTCTCAAATATGTTTATCCATTGTAGTGTGGATGGACATTTGGGAAACAATAGTTTTTTTGCTATTACAAAGCATGCCACTATAAAGTTTCTTGCATTTGTGTATGCTCATCCACCTGTGCAGATTCTGCAGGGCACACAGCCAGGACTAAAATTACTGGGTAATATGGTAGTACCAATTTACACTTCCACCAGGATGCATGAGAGTTGCCATCCCTTCCCAACCTCTCCAATCTTTGGCATTGTCCAACTTCCTAATTCTTTGCTAAGCTAGTGGTTGAGAAAGAGTATCTTGTTGTAGTTTTAGTGTGCATTTCTCTACTACTAATGAGGATGAATAGCTTTTCACATGTTTATGGGCTATTCCTATTTAGTCTTGTGTGAATGTCCTGTTCAAGTCTTTTACCCAATTTTTTTTCTTTCTTTCTTTGGTAATTTTCTTATTGATTTATGGGCACACTTTCTATATTCTCTATAGAATTCCTCCCACTTTGCGGCTTGTGTTTTCTCCTTCTTTATAGTATCTTGATGAACAGAAATCCTTAGTCTTAATGAAGTAAAATTTATCAGCATTTTTCTTTTTGTGTCTTGTTAAAGAACTCTTCCTACCTATTTCCTATTAATATATTCTCCTATATTGTCTCTTTTATACTTTATACTTTTGCCTTTCACCTTTTAGGCTCTGAGTTAGGAAGGTGCTTAGTGTGTTAGGGGAATAGCAAGGAGGCCAATGTGGCCGGACTGGAGTCAGTGGAGGAGTAGGGAGAGGGAGGCAAGATGGAGAAGTACCAGGGCTTTGTAGGTCAAAGACTCTTACTCTGATGAAGTAAGAAGCCATGGGGGCCTTCTGAGCAGAGTAACAGGATCTAACTTATGTTTCAGCAGGCTCTGTGGCTACTGTATAGAGATCAGATTTAAGGAGGGGCAAGGGAGGAAGCAGGAGACCGGGTGAGAGAAGACGCTGGCTTGGAGTGGAGTGGTGGCAGGCAGTAGGGATAGTGATAGAAAAGACTGAAGAAGGAGCAGGTTTTATGGAGAGTATGGGGAGGTTAGTTCTTGACATGGTAAGATTGGGGTGCCCACTAGTGAGGCAATGGAGATCTTAAGTGAGCAGTTTGATTTTGGGTCTGGATACAAGGAAGAGAAGTCCAGGCTGGTGATAGAAATTTGAAGGTCATCCACACAGAGATGAAATATAAAGTCACTCAAATATCAGAGATTCTCTTAAGGAGTGAATGTATTTATAAAACAGTAGAACCCTAAAGAGTGCATTCTAGGACACTCCTACCTTTAGTGCTGGGGAACTGAGGAAGAGCCAGCAAAAGAGTCTTCGAAGGAGTAACCAAACAGATGGGAGGAGATCCATGCAAGAGGTGAAAATATTTCAAGGAGGAGTCCGTCATCAACTGGGTTAAAACAGTGTGAAAGCATTTTACAAGCTCTACAATCAGCCAACATATATTAAGCACCCATTTGGTGTCAGGCACTGGCGATTGGATGGATGGATGGATGGATGGATGGATGGGTGACAGAAGGATGGATGGGCGGATGGATGAGCAAGAAAACCATGGCCCCTGCCCTCTAGGAGCTCTCACTATTGTGGAGACATGTATGTATTCAAAGGAGCAGGACTTGAAGATGAGCAGGACATATGCTCTGCCAGGTCCGGCCCTGGCGCGAAAGCACAAAAGGAAGGAGGGAGAAGTTTTCCTTTGCCTCCTCCAGGCAGTCTCATCTGTACTTACAGTTTCAGCTTCCCACTGTGACTCTTATCTCAAATCTGCCTTTTCAGTCCCAACCAGTCCCTGAGCTTTAGAATCACATACAGCTGTCGGCTAGACCTCTTTTCCTAAATATCCCGCAGTGTGTAGCTCCCACACCGAATATCCAGAACTGAATTTGTCCTTTCCTTTTTGCTCCCTCTCTTCCCTTAAGACCCTCCTTTGCCAGATTGTCAAATACATGATAAAGCTATGATTACAAAAATAATGTAGTGCTGGTTTAAATATCCCAGAAACCCAGGTATATATATTTGTATATGTAAATGAATTTGATATATCATAAAGGTGGCATTAGGAATCTGTGCTGGGACAACTAGTGAGGTATTTGGGAAATGGGAATCACTTTAAATCCTCACTTCATGCCTTTTACCATCCCAAATCCAAGATGAAGTAAAGACTTTTTAGGGTTAAAAAAAAAAAAAAGAAATCAGGAAAAAAAAAAAAAACTAGAACCAAATAAACATAAATAAAAATAAAATCCTTGGATGGGCTGTTTTCAGCAAAAAACAGTGGACGTCATCTTCACCATGACCCCTAATTCCCCCCACCTATCTGTGTTCCTTCCCAGCTGTCACCCCTACTCCCCGTCACCAGATGTCAGTCATTGGCTCATTTCTCCCCTTCCCCCAGCCTCACCCAGGCAACTGGTTGGACTTAGCCTTTCTCTCATCTCCCATCCCAGCCTTGTCACTACCCTCCTATTTTTGAAATAATCTGCCCCCTGGTTTCCCTTCCTCTAGGACTATCTCCTGCACAGTTGCCAGAGGGATCTTTCTATGACACACATCTGACACTTCCAAAAATCTCTGTGGCATTTCATTTGCCTCCGTGGTAAAGTCCAAGCTCCGAGTGACCTAAAACCTGGGTTCTTTGCTGAGGCACAGTGACTTCCTGCAGCCCTTCCAGAGAGGTCCTGCTGCTGGCCAGACTTGCTACAGCTCCTTGTGAAGCACAGCACAGGGCATATGCATCAGGGCTAGTGCATCTCCCCTGCCTCACTCACCCTCCCTGCCCTGGGCTTGAATCCGGGCCGGCTTATCCACACAGCACGGAAGGCACAGAGCCTTGGGCTGGTTCAGACACCCAAGAAAATGAACATAATAATAATAAATCCAGTCTGCATTACATTCTTCTTTATACCAATCCAGGCATAAAATATAATTTTTACCATTTTATTTTTTAAACCATTTTATTAATTTTTACCATTAATGGAAGAAGGGGTCCGTGAAAGTCATAACACGGGCCTGATTTCATCTCCCAAATAAAGTATTTGCCACTTGAATCTTGGCCTCAGCCTCTGCTTTCTAGACCACAACTTCTATTCTTGTGCCTGTTACCTCATGGTTGCAAGATGCCTGCGCTAGCTCCAGATATCACTGACATATTCCAGGAAAATTAGGGGTAGAATGCACCCATGTCTTGTTTCTGAGAAAGCATAAGCTTTACCATAAAGCCAGTCTAGCAGATTTCTGTGGCTGTCTCATGGCCAGAACATCACATAGATGACCAAACCATGAAAGAGCCTGGGGACTCCAGCCTCAAAAGTAGAGGACTATCGAGGGCTGGTGGCTCCGAGCATAAAGGCCTACCCTATTCCACCCCTCCAGACCCACGTTTGGTTTCCCCTGGCTTGCATGCGATTCTCCAGCCATACCCCACTGTTTGTAGTTCTCCACCATGCTGTTCCCTTTCTCACATCCACACCTTTGCTCTTCCTGCCACCTGCCGCCACCTGGTCCTCCTGGCACTCTTCCCTGACTTCTCCTCCTACCTAAGCCTCAGTGAGGTACCCATCCTTGTCATTTTCCTAATACCCCAGACATAGTGGTACCAAGGGACTGCAGGGATTGACAATTACCATTTCTGTGCCTCTCTCCCATGTGTCAAACCTGCCACCACTGTGCCTGGTTCATGTTGAGTCATGGTGAAAGCACGATTGGCCCTCATTATCCCCCTTTACCTCTGTTCGCAGGCTCAGACAAGAGTCAGGGCATGCTGGCCTTGTCCATCAGTCCCAATCGGCGATACCTCGCTATCTCCGAGACTGTGCAAGAAAAACCCGTCATCACCATTTATGAACTGTCATCCATCCCTTGCCGGAAGCGCAAAATCCTTAATAATTTTGACTTTCCCGTTCAGAGATTTATTAGCATGGCTTTTTCTCCAGACTCCAAATACCTGTTGACTCAGACATCACCTCCAGAATCAAACCTTGTCTATTGGCTGTGGGAGAAACAGAAAATCATGGCTATTATTAGAACCGACTCTCAGAACAATGCTGTCTACCAGGTACATCCCCGCATAACAAGTATTGTGCAAGTTACAAAAAATAGTAAGAGCTTGATGGAATGCTTTCTATGTGCCAGGAACAATGCTGATTTCATTTGCATTTTTAAATTTAGTCTCTCAACAACCACGTGTGGTGTGCATAATTATTATCCTACTTTTATAGATGAGAGAACTGCGGCTTCTAGAGTTTAAGCCTCTCACCTAAGATCACATAGGTAGTGGGTGGCAGGGGCTGGATTCACTGTCTGCTGTGCCTGTCTTCTTTCCTGTAGCCCAGAACTGCTTTCCCAGGTCGGCCCCCGAGATGGATTGAGAACTCACTTTGTCTTACGTCTGGCCTCTTCCTAGCAGCTTTGCTGGGCAGTGGAAGGATTTTAAGAATGTAATGTGAAGTGGTAGATCTTGAGGAACATGTCCATGAAATTGTAGTTACGTGGGGAGTGGAACTTGCCATCATGGTTTGAGGGCAAAACAAAGAGGACCCTTGGGAAGGCTGATTGACTGCTTAGGCAGTGGGTCCCAAAGAGGTTTTATCTTGGTGCAGTCACCCCAGGCTAGGATCTGGTACTCAGCTTTACAAGTTCAAGAACTCAGATCAGCTCATGTTCAGAGATATAGCCAGTCAGTGTCTCAGGAATGGACTCCATTTTTCTCACAAGAGGCTGGTGGTTAACCCAGCATGTGACAACCAGAATGCTCCTGTCATTTACCTGGTACAGTTCCTCCCTAACGATAGAGAACTCGGGAGGTGAAATTAGTTCTCAGAGGTTACTTGGTGACTACAGAATCAGACCAAAGACAGAGGGAGCCAGAAGATTATTTCATCTAGGTCTTGGTGAGGTCAGGTCCAGCATCCCTATTCAGAGTAGAGTACATCCTCCCCAGTAAACATTTATCAGATGCCCACTATGAACCCAGCATTGGGAATACAGAGATGAAGAAACTGTGGCCGGTCAGCTGCTCACCATCTAGTAGGGGTGTAGGTTGACTACTATTACTATATATCCCATTTGGTAGGAGACTGCATAGCTGTTGCTGACATGGTCCCTTTCCTCCTGGACAGGGCATGCAAACCAACCAGATCTCCCTTTTCCAGCTGAGCCTTTGTTCCATTTTGTCAAGACTTGCTTATCTTCTTTTTGGCCTTGGTAAAATGATTTCTGTAGGTTTCCTAGTTTAAGATGCATGGGCCCTACAAACATAATGAATCTGTGCTCTTATCAAATATGGTATCAAAATTTATCATGACTTCATGATGTTTAAAGGATACTCTGAGCTACGTGAAATAAATATTCATTCGTAAAATGAGAAGTAATTCCATTAAGATTAGTTTTATCCTTTCACATTTTACAGGTGAGCTTCAATCCTCAGGATAACACTCAGGTTTGTGTCACTGGAAATGGGATGTTTAAGCTCCTCCGTTTTGCTGAGGGAACCCTGAAGCAAACCAATTTTCAGAGGGGAGAACCCCAAAACTACCTAGCCCACACCTGGGTGTCTGATGACAAGATCATCGTTGGCACTGATACAGGCAGGCTCTTCCTCTTTGAATCCGGAGATCAGCGCTGGGAGACAAGTATAATGGTCAAGGAGCCCACCAGTGAGACCAAGAACCCGGGGAAGATCCAGGAATCAGAGAGGTAATGGCACCCCTCTGGGTTGGTGCTCTTGTGAAAATATGCTCGTCATCCTAATAGCCTTATGCCAAAAATAGCATTCTTTTAAAGTCACTCAGAACCCCCCACCTTAAAATCGACTCTTTTCATCTTCCCTCTGCCTTTCTCATGTTTGTCTATATTCACGCACAAATTTGACAGTTATGACCACAGCCTAGATACAATTCTTTTTATTTTTTATACCTACTCTCATTTTATAAGCATTTCGACTAGTTTTCAAAACCACAGATTTTCAAACAGACATTTTCTAGTGGCTGCCTAATTTTCTGATTCAATTCAATAACTGGCCACCAAGCCCTTGCAGTGTGCAAGGCACCTTGCTAGGTGCTGGGGACGTGGGTCCTCAAGGACCTCACAATTTGGAAGGAGCCAGCAGACCCACAAAGAAGTGCAGGGAAGTTGTTGGTAAATCTGACAAAAGCATATGGGGTAAAGTGGGGTCTCGGGTCAAGTTTACCTCTACTACAGCCAATAATAATCATATCTCAAACATATTAGAATGTACCATTGTATGTACTAGACGCTGTGTTAAGCACTTTATATGTATTCTCATTTGAGTCTTACCCTATATAGTGCAAATTATTATCATGCCCATTTTATAGACAGGACAATGAGGCTCAAACAGGTTAAGCGACTCACCCAAGATCATAACACTGTCTGCCTGGCTCTGGAGCCTGAGCCCTCCAACACGTGGCATATGATAGATTCTTCTTCCTGGGTAACTTTCAGTCCACCATTTTTCACCATTCCCCACACACATGACCTCTCCTTTTTCCGTCGTGATTTTATTAAGAGCTTCCTAATAAGTCCCTCTGTCCTCCAGTTTGCCATGTTCCTAATCCTGCAGTGGGTCTGGTGCTCTAAGAATAAAGCCCAGACTCCTGAACTTGGCCCACATGTCCCTGCTGCTCTGACCCATCTTTACATCTGGGGCATCAGCTCCTGCCTCTGTCCCCCCCACACATGTCTCGTGCACTCTTGCTTCTAGGTTCAGTCCAGTGTAGTTTCCCCTACACCACTCCTCGGGACATATTCACAGACTGACATAATCCTGTTCATTTGGCAGATCAGCTGGGAGTTCTCAGCCTCTGCTCATCTCAGATGGGTGTACCACTTCTGTAATTGTCCTCAGAAAACCCTTGTTCCCTGCTGAATGGCTGCTCCCATCCCAGCCATCAGCTCCCTAACGGTCCTTAGCACTTGTCCTCTAGACTCTAAGCTCCTGAGGGCAGGAACTATGTCAGTCTTACTGAGTTTCACAGAGTTGTTAACACAGTATAATTCCCATACATATTTGTTATGTGGAAGGAAGGAGGGAAAGAAGAACAGGAGGGAGGGAAGGAGGAAAGAGAGAGGGAGGGGGGAAGGGAGGAAAAAAATGGAACCCTGTATTCAAATCTCAGCCCTCCTGTTTACTAATTGTGTATCTTGGAAAACTCTCTGAGCCACTTTTTCCTAAACGAAAGGAGGATAATAATGCACGCAACAACCCCAGTAATAATAGTGACCACACAGGGTGGTGAGGCTACCAAATAAATGTGTAACCTTCCAGTCTTTCTTTGGAGTTTGTGTAGCCGTCTGAGGCCAAAGGGTGGCATTTTGGCTATGGGGCTCACAATGGGTGATTTCTCCCACCCCCAAAGACAGCCCTTCCTTCTCATCCCTAGCTGAACTCACCTCGTGCAGACTGTCTCTGTAAACTTTACATGCTATTTTCTTTTTCTAGCCTGATCGAATTTCCAACCATCAGTTCCCCGGTCCCTTCCTATGAACAAGTCATGTTGGCCAGTAGCCACAGCCAGCTGGCCATGCCCCAGGTGTTCGCCCTTGCAGCCTATTCAAAGGGATTCGCCTGTTCTGCTGGGCCAGGCAGAGTTTTACTGTTTGAGAAGATGGAAGAGAAGGATTTTTACCGAGAGAGCAGGGAAATCCGGGTAAGGAGGGGAGGAAGAAGCAGAACTGGGGTTCTCCTGGCGCGTGTTCTCCATCAGCAGAGCACTGACAGGGAGTTTGCTGGGAGGAAAGGGCTGTAGGGTTGAGTGGAGATGGAGACTTGAGCCATTTGTCCCTGTGGGGAGTTTTCAGGATAGGGTGGACAGAGTGGGGCTTAAAATTGGGAGGATCTGGATTTGAATTCTGGAAGAGAACTTTGGCAAGTTATATTTTTTCTTTGAAGCTTAGTGTTCCAACAAAAATCGTATTATGATATATACTGATACTTAACGTCTGGCACATAGGAAGCATTCGGTAAATGTTTGTGGAATAAGTGATACAGACCGCTATAGAGAGAGAACATCTGTGCTTGGGGAGGATCCAGGAAGGCTCTGAGTGTTTGTGGTCATCTCTGGGGAGGGTCCTAGAGGAAGGGTAACAATTGATGGGAGGGAACAGGTTAGGAATTGCAGGTGGAAGGAACAGGTGAGGCAGAGGCACCATGGACAGGGAGCAGGTGGTGTGTCTGGGAGATATTCTGCTCCCCGGTGGAGAGGAACTGAAATCACTTGAAAGGCAAAGATGGGAGCTGAGCCTGGTGAAAGATCTCAAATGCCAGCCTGAGGAGTGTGCGTGTAATTCAGCAGACAGCCTGCTTTTGAGCGCAATCTGCCAATGGTGTATAGTTGGGGGGGATTTGGAGGCACTAGGTGTGGGGTGGCTACAAACGCACAGACTGAGCCAGACTTGACTCTGACGTTATCGGTGAAGTGACTCGAGACGAGTTGCTGAATCCAGCAAAACCTTGTTTCTTCCTGAGAAAGTAGCCCATCCCTGGTGGTTATCAAAAGGATGAGCCAACACCTGTGTAAATCATGTGTGCAGTGCTTGGTGCTCAACAAATGATAGCAATCACTATCGCCATGCTTCGGAATCAGTTAAGAGGCTTTGTTACTTGAGCCAAGCAGTACTGAGGTCTAGTCACGGCAATGAATAGCAGGGAAAGTGGGAAGGAAAAGAGCCTTTGTGGAGGTTAAGCCTGCAGAACTTTCCCTGAGTAGACGTGGACAGCCAGAGATAAGGAGCTCCCAGAAATGATGCCTTGGCTTGGAGACTGGATGCCTGGGAAAAGATGCCAGTGGTAGGAAAATGGGGGTAGGAGCAAAGTGAGTGGGAACCATGGGGAATTATTAGGAGTTTACATTGCCTACTTCCAAAGCAATTCATTCTTGTTTGATTATTCACTTCACGAATATATGTTGAAGGTTTGCCATGTGCCAGGTTCTATGCTAGGGCCTGGGGTGCAGTAGGGAAAGCAAGCACACTAAGAGCCGGTCCAGAGAACACAGTCAACAGGCAACCAAACGAATATGAACTGATTGTCACATGCGGATCAACACTGTGAAGAAAATAAAGCCAGGAAAAGGACAGGGAGTGAGAAGGTTTCTGTTCTAGAGAGAGTAGCTTGGGGAGGCCTTGCTAAGGAAGCTGACATTTTACCAGGCCCCGGAATAAAGTGAGTCAGTTGGCAATGTGGGTTAGACTTTGGGAGTTAGATCAATATGTACACACAGACACACACACACACATAGACATACACACACACACACAAACACACACAGCACAGAGTGCTTAGCTTGTGTCTGGTACAGAGCCAATGCTTTGTTTACTATTTTAAGGATTTATCATTGTGATTACTTTCACTACTGCTGCTTTCATTGAAACCCTCATATTAGGCAAAATCACTGACATAAAATATAGAGACGGAGAAGAAGAGGACTGAGGACAAAACTTAGCGTTTCCTAATTTAGAGCCTGAGACAGAATGAGAACCCAGCAGAGGACACTGAGAAGTAGTAGCCATTCACTCACTCATTGAACAGATGGCTGTGGCATACCCACCATGGCCCAGGCTCCGTGCCTGATGCCTGAGATAGATGCATCAGTCATGGCCGCTTCCCCCAAGGACCTCCCTGTCTCTAGAGGAGAGCAGCAAGGCAGCGCTTACTCTTTTTTTTTTTTTTTAAGATTTTATTTATTTGCGAGACAGAGAGTGAGAGACAGCATGAGAGGGAGGAGGGTCAGAGGGAGAAGCAGACTCCCTGCTGAGCAGGGAGCCCGATGTGGGACTCGATCCTGGGACTCCAGGATCATGACCTGAGCCGAAGGCAGTCGCTTAACCAACTGAGCCAGCCAGGCGCCCAAGGCAGCACTTACTCTTTCGTTGAGCACTGCTGCGCACTAGGTACGATGCTGGGCACTGGGACACAGACAAGGTCCTCAGTCTGTGGGTTCCCATTCTGATTTACACAGTGTGATAAATGTGGCAGCAGAGGACAGCTCCCTGGTGAGCACACTGAGGTGAGATTAGGGCCCACCCAGCCCAGGGCAGGCAGGGCAGGATATTTCTCCCTCCCAGAGCCCTCACTGTGCTGGCAGAGCCGGGGGCGTTGACTATGGGAAGAAGGAATAGGGGTTATACAGGAGGACAGAACTCCAGGCAGGGGGAGGGAAACATGAGAGCCTGGTGTCCTGGCCCCCAGGGAGGCAGGTGCTGCCATCACTGCAACAGGATCTAGAAAAGTCAAGAAGATGAGGACGGAGCAGGAGCCTCTGGCTCTGGCAAGAAGGAAATTTCTAATATTGATGAGGACATTTCAATAAGTGATGCAGTGGGAGGAATTAAGAACTGAGTGTGTGGTAAGGATGTGGAGATGGTATATGCAGGCCAGCCTTTCAAGAAGTTTGATTGTTAGCAGACAAAAAGCAATGGCAGGGGGAAAGGAAATCTGAGATTATAATGTCTACTTGGGAACTCCAGGCCCTTTCAGGGATTGCTGGCTGGGCTGCTGTATGACCCCTTTTCTTTTCTCTGCCCTACATGGAAGAGGGGCTGTCACCTTCCCCTCTGCTGCCCCGAAGTACACATTGGTGTGCTTGACCGCATGCACTGGGCTTCTGACAGATGGGCAAGAATGGGATTTAAACTAACCCTTGTTTTCAGAGGGGATCTCAAACTGAGATGTAGAGTGTGCTCATTTTTATACATGCTACTGTCTCTTAGTCAGCCACTCATCACGTTAGGGTGAATACAAAACCCACAGAAACAGAAGTGACTCAAACCCTCCCTTCTCCGCATCTGAGGAGGATCCTTGGAAGCATGCTGGTCCGGGAGTCTGTAAACTAAAAGTATCTGAGAGAACTCTGAAAGTCCAAGGACACACTTATTGATGATGTGGGAACATTACTAACAGTTATTTTGCATCTTGGGCAGATTCCTCTGGACCCACAGAGCAATGAGCCAAGTCAGTCTGACAAGCAGGACATCCTCTGCCTGTGCTTCAGTCCCTCAGAGGAAACCCTGGTTGCCAGCACCAGCAAGAACCAACTCTACAGCATCACCATGTCCCTGACAGAGATCAGCAAGGTGAGTCTTCCCCAGTAACACTTCCTTCCAGCCCAAGGACTGGTTGCCATGTGGGCAGATTTTTAATCCAAATTTGCTGAGCATGGCTCATTCAGCCTCTTCATAAGAGCAAAAGAAACTCTAATCTTAAGATTTCACTGTAGACACACTCTGCTATCCTCAGTGGGATTGTGATTGCCGCAGCCTCCTTGGAGGACACATTGGAGTTGTCTGTTGCATTTAAATTGTACATCTCCTTTAACCCTGCAGTTGCACTTAAGAGAATTCAATGTACAACTATAGCTGCTCATGTACACAAAGACATATGTATATAAAGAAGTTTATTTTTCCTTTTTTGTTTTTAAATAACAAAGAAAGCTAGCATAAATACACTGCAGACATTGCAACAAAAAAGCACTATCAAAGATGAAGAGAATCACTTTGAACTTCCAAAAGGTTCACTTCATCAAGAAGATATTACAATTTTAAAACTGTATGCACCTGATAGCATGCACTCAAAATATATGAAGCCAAAATTGACAGAACAACAAGGAAAATACCATCTACAATCATAGTAGGAGATCTTAACATATCTTTCTCAGTAACGGTGTTTTTTTCTTAAATAATAGGTTTATTGAGTATTTATTGGTATTTATTCACATGCTATACAATTCACAAATTTAAAGTATACAATTCAGTGGTCTTGAGTGTATTCAGAGAGTCGTGCAACCATTACCACAGTCAATTTTAGAACATTTTCATTGCTTCTGGTTCTTTTTTGTTTGTCCCTGTGGATTTGAATTACCATCTGAAGTCACTTCCTTAGCATACAGATTTGCTCCCACCTACCATCTTTTTGCTGTTACTGGCAAATACATTTCCATGCACCCAACAATGCATAACATACATATTGTTTTATATAGTGGCTTTTTCAGTAAGGTTAAAGAAGAGTGGGGATAAAATATGTGTTTATGTTATCTTTTATAATGACATAATACCTTTACTGGTGTTCTTTGTGTTTTTTGGTGGATTCAAACTACTCTCTGGGGTCACTTGCTTTCAACCTGAAGAATCTCCTTTAGTATTTCATTTAAGGCAAGTCTGCAAGCAATAAACTCTTTTAGTTCGTGTTGGGAATGTTTTTATTTCACCTTCATTTTTAAGAGATAGCTTTGCTGGATATAGAATTCTTGATAGACAGTTTTTTCTTTGAATACTTTGAACATGTTATTCCACTCCCTTTTGGCTTCTATTATTTTTGCTGAGAAATCTGCTGTTATCTTGTTGGAGTGCCCTTGTAACTGATCAATCATTTTGCTCTTGGTGCTTTCAAGGTTTTTTTTTTTCTTTTGTCTTTGGTTTTTGATATTTTTATTATCATATGTCTGTGGATCTCTTTGTGTTTATCTTTCTTGGAGTTCATTCAGCTTCCTAGATGTGTACATTAATATTTTGCAATGAGTTTGGGAAGTTTTCAGCCATTATTTATCCAAATATTTTTCTGCTCCTTTCCTCTGGTACTCCCATTGTACATATATTGGTGTGTTTAGTGGTGTTCCACATTTACCTGCAGTTCGGTTCATTTTTCTTCATTCTTTTTTCTGTTTTTCAGATTGTGTAATCTTTATTGATCTGTCCTTAACTTCACTAATTCTTTCTTCTGCTAGTTCAGATCTCTTTTGAGTCCCTCTAGTGGATTTTTCAGTCCTGTTATTGTACTTTTTACCTCCAGAATTTCTTGTTTTTGTTTCTGTTTTTTTTGTTTTTGTTTTTTTTTTTTTGAGAGAGAGAGCATATGCACAAGGTGGGGAGGGGCAGAGGGAGAGAATCTTAAGGAGGCTCCATGCCCAATGTGGAGCCTGACGCAGGGCTTGATCTCACAACCCTGAGATCATGACCTGAGCTGAAATCAAGAGTCAAATGCTTAACTGACTTGAGCCACCCAGGCGCCCCATGAATTTCTATTTTTTAAACAATTTTTATCCCTTTTTGATGTTCCCTATTTGATGTGACATTGTTATCAGAAGTTTCTTTACTTCTTTAATCATGGTTTTCTTTAGTTCTCTGAACAGATCTATAATGGCCACTGTGAAATCTTCATACCTTAAATCCAATATCTGGTCACTCTCACAAGCAATTTCTGTTGCCTGTGTGCAGAAAAATGCAAATTAAAACAAGTCTGAGATCTTTTTTTTTCCAGTGACACTTTTCCTTGCTTTAATATTATCTTTTTCTGTTTTTGAAATGAGCTTTCAATTACAAAATAGCAAACTACACTCAAAAATGCCAGCCATTGGCATGCTATGGAAAAGCTCACAAGTAAGGACAGATAACAGCGTCCCATGGGAGGAGGTGGGAAGTGATTGAAGCAGTGGTTACAAATGTTCACAGGAAGCTAAAACTATCCAAAAGGTTGTACCTTAATGTTAGCACAGGTTAGACTCATCACTACCTTGGGGGGTGGCCTCAGTGTGTTTGGGTTCAGATTCTACAGGGCAATGCAGTTTCTTCCAGTTAAGAGTTCTTGGCTTGCACCAATCACAGGGGAGCCAGATGGCACTGGACCAGTCTAGGCTATTAGCTTTTCAAAATGCTGTTGTAGATGTACGGAGAGACTTCAGGAGCTCTACACTTCAGTGACAGTGTGCAACTTGGGTTTCCTGGCTGGATACATAGCTCAGCCAAAATCCAAATGCCATCAGTGAGCTTTAGGGATTGGTACAGCATGTTCTGCCCTTCCACATTCCTCTTGGCAGTAGAATAAACGTTGTTTTGCAATTTGCTGGAAAATGTCAGCATTTAAATGACATTGTTTTCATTGGGAACATCCTTCCATGTTGCAAGGAAGACCTGGTGCTTCATTTTGCCATTTTCTACAGAAAGCACATTGAGTGGGATGAGGCAGCAGAAGTAGCCTCAGGGTGATATACTACACCTCTGGTTCCCCAGACAGCAAAGTGACAAGTGGAAGGGCCAACTTTTTTAGTAGCATATTATAGTAGTCAGAGTCCTTGGGTAACAACTCTAGAAACTTCATTAGCTAAAAGCACCAATGCTGAGTTGGCAGGAGATAGCCAGAGAATTACATGCTCACAGATGCTCTAACCTCCAAGGCATCTTTAGGGTTGTAACTAGATAGTCCAAAATGAAAATCTGGCCCCATTCAGTGCACTCATTTGGGGGTGTCAGCAGCTTATTGATGTTCTGGGTTCAGATCGAGCAGGTTGCTGTTTAGGTGAGATTCACTGATTTCAGATAATGCTACTAGAGCATTAGCCACCACCATTGGATCTGAATCTGCTATCAGATCCCACACAAAATCCAGAAATCCCTAATCTTCCACCATCTGGGCATTGATATCATGGAATTTTGCCACACAAAACTGCTGCTGCTGTTTTCCAAACATAGGGATCTTCTTCCTTCAAGCACTTGCAGGGGGCACACAGCGATCTTGTGTAATCTTGTCCACCCAGATGCACTCCATAGTCCTGACTGCCAAGGCCCAAATTAGAGGATAGGGATCTTCACAATCCACATAGCTGTTGACAGCCATGATGGCCACGTCTGGCTGACTCTTGGAGTAGTTCATCAAATAGAGGTACATGAGCTTCTTCAATTCCAGACTGTCGGTTTGCATACAGTTCACTACATCTGGAAAGAAAGAGCTGACATCCTTCCCTACAGTCATGGCAACAATCACTTTCTTCACAGCCTCCTTCCTCTTTTCTTTCTTTTCCTTATTGAGTTCAGCCTTCAATTCAAAGATTCTCCTTTTTTATTGATTGTGAAGTGCTTGGAGTCAGTCATGGTTTTGGATCTTTTTAATTTAAATTCAATTAATATATAGTGCATTATTAGTTTCAGAGGTAGAGTTCAGTGATTCATCAGTCTTATATAATACCCAGTGCTCATTACATCATGTGCTCTCCTTAATGTCCATCACCCAGTTACCCCATTCCCCCAACCCCCTCTCCTCCAGCAATCCTCAGTTTTTTTCCTGTGATTAAGAGTCTCTTATGGTTTGTCTCCCTCTCTGATTTCATCTTGTTTTATTTTTCCTTCCATTTCCCTATGATCCTCTGTTTTGTTTCTTAAATTCCACATGTGAGTGAGAGCATATGATAATGGTCTTTCTCTGACTGACTTATTTCGCTTAGAATGGTTTGGGATCTTTAATGTGCGCCAGAGGCAAGGGCAGGGGGTGGCCGCAGCAGCCAGAGAGCATGGCCTGAGTGGTGGGGTAATGGTTTCCTGCATGTCACAACTGAGAGGCTTCTTTATAAGAATTATTTTTATTATTTACCAAAAATTAGGAAGTCCGATCTCACCAGAGATTTCCGAGAATAAGGGAAAATGGGAATCCTTTTTTTTTTTA